GTCGAAATCTGTTGTTTCATCTATATTTCTCAAAGGTGGAAGTGGCTTCCTGAATCTTATGACTTCAGAAGTGGTTGCAGTTATGAAATATCTTGATGTTGCAAATATTGTTCCTTGTGGTAAAAGTATGGAAATCGGGGATATTCCCTATACGGGGTCTTTTTCTTTATAGTAAAGTTGAGGTAACTGGAGTAATCCTTATATGGATTTCTTTGATGCTGTTTGACAAATGTTTGGGTCTTTTGACTCTCAAGTTTTCTAGCTGTTCCTTCAATTGATCTATTTTATCTGTCAGGACCTGTATGGAATCTTATCCACTAGTGTAAGCTTGCAATTCAAACGTCCCTCTAATATGGCAGTATTGATATTCACGTTTTCTTGTAGTGTAGTAATCTTGAGAGTCGCAGTTTCAATTCTAATATGTTTCTCCATTTATGCCGAAGCATTTCTTACATCTCATTCCAACCCCCTGTTTCTACATCAAAGGCTTCAGTAAAATCCGGTATTTATCCAAACTTATCGAAACCCATTCAAATTTATGCACGGTGAAGACATATATATACATATTATTTTCCAGCTACATATTTACAAGAATTCCTTCTTTGATCTGTTGATACTGCCTTCCCTCTAGTCTTACATACTATACTATACCTTTTGTGTTGCTACTGGCTGGATGTTTCAATAGGATTTCGGTTTAGTGTTTACCTGCTGTTGAAATGTTAGATGCCGAATATTTTAGTGTTCCTTAAAACAATGTTCGCTCTCAAAATCTAAGTAAAAGCAGAAAATGAATGTATGGAAAAATATATAAGAATCAAATACATAACAATGTGAGTTGTTATTTTCCTGTCTGATAATTTTATTTTCGGCTTTCTTTGTTTCTTTGTGAGTGGTTTCTCGTTAAACGGTAATTTTAAGGGATTATAATGCTAAAAATCAGATTTTGATACCCGTGGTGCACAGAACACAGATAGCCCAATGTTGTTGTTAAGCATTTTGGGCTTAATAATAATAATTTTCTTTTTGTAAGGAGGAGAGGGAGCGTAGGGTACAAATCTATATATTAATATTTCAGACTTACGATCGATTCTACTATTTGATGAGAAGTAGTGTTTATGTTGGGTTGATTTATGACAGGAAGCTTGTAAGTACCGGAAAATGTAAGTAGATTTTAAATATATGATGACATGAAAATATACAGAAGGCTTCATTACAAAGAAAACTTATAATTCTTGGTTTAACGGAAAAAATTGACAGTTGAACAGTTCTAATGTCTCATCGAATTTTTTGTCGAATAATTGTTAAACTTGCTAAGTTAGGAGTAGTGTTTTAAATACCTGCATCTACAGACGGTTAAGTACATTTTATTAAAACAATTTTGAATATGCAAATCAGCAACTCACGTGACAAGTGCAGCCGATATAACTACAATATGACATTATTTGGTGTTACGTAGTTAGTGTGACCAACAAAAATTGATTGCACAAAATATTCGTATATTCAGTTTATATTTTTAAAAACATTGAAAAAAATAGGAATAGCTCCCCAGTGGCACAGCGGTATGTCTGACGACTACAACGCTAGAAACCGGGTTTCGATACCCGTGGTGGGCAGAGCACAGATAGCCCATTGTATAGCTTTGTGCATAACTACGAATAAACAAACCAAGGAATATGAATTAATAAGGGGCACCATCACCATCCTCAAAGAGATCTACAACATATCATATGCTAGCAGTGGTAAGAAATGTGCGGAATCTTGTAACAAGAAGTTACGAACACATAGGTCAGTAGCAAACGTTCGTACACAGGATTTCTGAAACAGTACACAACATAATGAAGAAGGATCTTCCTCTAGAAAAGTGACACAAGTCAGGTGTACGTAAGCTGTTTTCTTGACAGATCTGCTCTGTTGTCACAAATCTGGAGAATGAAACGGTTATTCATGCCATTCCATACACAGACATTAAGAAAAGTAAGGTAAGACGGTCCCTTATAACGCACATTCGCCTCAAAAGTGCAGAACGCGATATTTTTACAGCAATTGGAAGCGAAGCAAGGGCCCTCGGATTCAAAGACCAACACGGTAATCACTGGATTATACTTATCATTTAACACAATATGAAAGGACCATGAAATAAAATTTGGAAAATAAAATAAATGATAAATTGAAAACAAAATATATAAATATATATTTTAATGACATTAATTAATATAAATTATTCAGACAACCCAATTTAAATTCAGAATATTTAATTTCAGCAAAGTTATTCCAAAGAAAAGATTTTCTAGTGCCTCAAAGTTTTTTGATTGTCAGCTTAAACAAGCTCATGAAAAATTAAATATGCGTAGTGTATAAGGTATATTTAACGTGTTCTAAACATAATTGTTTTGAATAAATGAAACGACTCACATTTAACTATCATTTTATTATTTCTCACAGGTTACAAACAGCCATTTTTACATCAGCCAGTTGATTTTGAATGTCTTATTAAAACGAAAAATATATACTTAATATAAAACTGTGACATAACGTTTGTAAAGAATATTAAACATTAAAGATAACTAATTCTCATTAATGCCATTAGTTTATGGTCATAATCAAGGTTTAACTTGAGTTATGAAGTTTGAAACCCTAGAACTATAACTGACAAATTTATACATTTATTTTCGTTCTTGTTTTGCCACTTCTACAAACGAAGCTTAGTATAGTGTTTCTATTCAGAAAGTTGGTTTAAAAAAAAACGTGAAACACCGCATGTGAAATATAGGATTGCTCTTTTATTGCAACTTATTTTAAAAATATATGATAGAAACTTGTAGATAACCAATAGCTAAGAGAGACTTTCTCGAATCTTCATGTAATCAAAGTGTTCTAGGATCAGCTTCAAACAGGACTTTATTAACTGATTATGTCAGGCATATCAGAGCAAAATATTCCGTACCGGCAACAACTTCACTAAAATAAAGGAAAATTTGTAACATGAAAATTAAAGTTTTGTTTACGGATAAAACAAGTAATATATGAACTTTAACGCCAACAAGAGCAGCAACCCCTTTTTTACTATAAATGTATCGAGTTACTTAGAAATTAACCCATTTGTGTAAAATAACTGAATGATTGTCGTTAATGCACACGACATACAGGTGATTAAGATCATGATGAGATGGAAGAATATTGAATGCCTCACGATCGGTTGACAAGAGTAATCCCATATTTAATCTAACGTATAAAAAAATAGTAAATCAACCAGGAAATTACATTCAACCATACTGCAGATTATTCAAAATTATCCTTAGACTAGTCCTAAAGTTCCATGTAAAGTTAATTTAATAAGTGTATAAACTGCATTTTTAGCCATGTTTCTGCAAAGTTGAATTCTTATAAGATATCTGAACAAGCTTAGCTGAATAGAAAACTTAATTCAATAGACCTTACAATTTGAAATTTCTCGTGTTATCTAAACTCTAAAATTACCTTTAAGGTCGGAAGTAAACATGAAAGAGAAACATAAATTTCTGTTTTTATTGATATATTCAATAGATATTACTGTATATATAAAAGTTTAGATATTATACGAAAGGAAACTGCTTAGCTTGTTTTGATTTTCAATAAAAATATTGTCCAAAAAAAGACAACGACAACTGTCTTGTAGAAGCGAGCCTATTAACCAAGAAAGCGAAAAAGCAGTCATTACGAAGTGTGCTAAACAATTTAATTTACTGATGGAAGGAGAAAATGGGATTGTGTATAGTTCAAACTAACTATACTTGTATCAGTTCATCCTCTCTCACATTTATATATATATATATATATTTGGTTTTTACTCTAAGATTATCTCTAAACAAAAATGGCACGAAGTAACTAAAATATAAGTGCACATTGTAAATATGGTTGTAATAATTAAACCAAGAATATAACGCCTTGAAGCAAAGATGAGCACTTCAAGTTTATTTATCTGGTTGTATATACTTCAACAAATTGTGGTAATATAATAAAAATTAAACACAATGGATTAAGTTAAAAAATTAAATTTAACATCTAGTTTTAGCAACACCAAGTCTCCCTAGAAATATATTTTTTTTACATTAAACGTACCTGCAAATAATATGATATGAAATAAAAGTGCATATATTAAACGGTATTACAATAATTTAAAAATTATGATGTGTAAATTTACATTTCTTTTCTCATTAGTTATATTTATTAATATTAATGATTTAATTTTAATCGTCACGACGCGCTATTGAATACTTCTACTTCTCAGTTCAATGAGTTATGTTTGCTGCAATGATAATGCTTTCCAAAGATTTTCTTTCTTACAATTTATAAAAAAATATAATGACTAGTTAATAAAATACATCTATATGCTTGCTTCAGATGTTTGCAAACATTTTTCTTAATATTTAATATTATCATTATTAGCTAGTGATATTTTTTCTATTGAAATTAATATCGTCATTAAATTATATCTTTCTTTAAATTATATTTAAATATATTCAATTTTCAATTACCAAGTACTAGGTTAAAGTCCTTGCTAGTGATTTTGTCAAATCTCTAGGACTTATATAAGATTGTTAACCTTAGCGAATCATTTTAGATAAAATTGATTTGCATACGCTATAATAAATAAAGTATATAAATAAATGCTCTAAGAATAAATCAGTCAAATATTTATTGTCGACTTTATGCTTAGTTAATCATACAAAGAAAAACGCATAATTCTTAAAAAATGTTAGTTTACATTAATTACACAATTTTATAAACGTGGTTTCACGATCTCCGTAAAATTATATTTAACAGGATGTAATTTTATAACCACCGGTTTAAATAAAATCTAAGTATTACTTTTTTATTAGTTATTTTGATAAATATTACTTTCATGAAAAAGATAGTGATTTAATGTTCAGTCACTTTTATATATTTTTAACCTAATTTGTTATTTTTACTTTAAACAAGTTATTTTTATTCTAACAAAAACATTAAAAGATGTTTGTTTAGTAATATCAATTAAAATATTTCTATTGCAATATGGAATTTCTTAGAAATATACAATTTTCAACCATGTACCAGCATATGAAGGCTATGAAAGATGATTTTTATCTCTGGGGCTTGATACTGTATGCATTGGAAAGCTTAATTTTATAGAGATTTCATAGCTTTTCATATGAAGCAAATCAATAGATTTCACACGCAATATTTCAAATGTATATCTAAGACTAGTTAACAAGGAATAGACATACACACAGGAAGGATATGTCTTTCAAGATCTTACGCTAAATGTACAAAACGGTATGAAACATTGTAATGTAATGATGTACAATTCAAAACATGTCATTTACAAAATGGAGCACTTTCCGATCTGAGATATGGCATTGGCTTTGATCTATAACTTTTCCTAAGTACAGTATTTACATAAATATTTAGTTAATTATCTTTATATATAATATATATATATATATATGATATCTTACAAGATAAACATTACATAAGTTACATAATAAATTTTAGTTTTTCAGACCATTGACCCATCGAATACACAACAACACTTGCTAGCAGCCGTTATCACTAGCTGTTTGATGGTTAACAGAATCGCGTTTCTTATCCACAGGTGTTTTCAAAGTGTCATTTGACACCACGTTCATCATGGTGTTGGCCTCTTGTAATAAACACGTCTGCTCCTCTTGAGGTTCATGTGAGGTATTCAGTGGCTGCAAGTCTTAACATTCTTCCTTCCTTGCTCTTCCTGCGACATTTCTTCACTTTCTGACACCAAACAGAGCCCTACGTCTGAGTGGGATATGGAATTTGGACTCTCTTTTTTGTGTTGAACTGGGTGATGATATAGCAGCCATTTTGTTGAATTTGGCGATTCAGCTTTGTCTTCTACGGACAGCTCTTAACTTCTTTATCATTAGCTGCTTTATGAATTTCAACAGGATGAAAGTGATCGAAGCCAACATATAGCTGAGAATGGAATCATTAAAGGATTTATCTTCGAGCAAGTGTGCACCATTGCTGATCGAACTAAATGGTGAAAAATGAGTTGGTGCTAACTTGAGCTTAGGTGTTACGGAATGATCTTCAGGATTTTTGTTTATAGAATCTTCTTGACAAATGTTCAATAATGGCTTAGAAGAGGGCATCATTCCGTGTATAACATTCTCCTTCTTCTTCTCTTTTAGATTCTGGCAAATCCGCACTAAATTCTGCTTTAAGATAGCTAGCTAGCTTCTTCGACTTCTGCACCAACGAAACAAGTTTCGTCTAAATTTCCTGAATTTTTGCTCTCACCAAATTCTGAAATCTGGATGGTTATAGCCGCTGGTGGGAAGTTTAAGCCTAAAAAATATCACATCAAATTTATTTATTCAGGAATGAATAAAATATAGAATCAATATAAAATACACAATCAATAAAGTGAATCACAAATTTATTACATTTTTTCAAAGTGTAACATTATATATTTTAATTTCAATAAAAGTTTAGTGAAGTGAATTTATTATAGATAAATACCGTTTTCCTATAAAATATACAGTGAGATTAAAGGCAACAGTGATACAAATTTCATCTCGTTTTAATTTTCTTAATAGAGATATTCAGTTTTAGTTGTCAAATATAATAGTTTTATGTTTAAAAAATTTTCTAAGCTATAACCTTATATTCTAAAATAAAATAAAAGTTAGCATTTCAAATATTTGTTTTGTTTTACTTGTTTCACCACTTGCTTGTGACAATGAAACACATTCCTGACATAACTACTGACTAATTTATTTTCAGGCACATTGTGCTACAATATTAAGAGTGAAAAACAACAGCAACGTTTTTTGGCACATCGATGATGGTAATTGTGTTACCGGAACCAATCAGCTGAAATATGTAATAAAAATTGTATCTTTCATCGTGCCAAAAAAAAAAAAAAAACAACAACATCGTTTTTCTCTTTATTAATCACTAATTTTCCAGCAGATTCGTTAATTTTAACTTTTAAGTATACCATATAAAATTTAGATTCCTACTTTTAATTTCTATATATATACACATTTATTTCATACCTTTAGTTTGAATGAATATGTTTCACAGTGCTTCTATTATTTCCAAGCTACAATTTATCATACTGTCATAAAATGATAATATTTATTGTTCTTCGTTCGGAGTATTCGATCATCATGTTTATTTCTTTGTTTTGAATGTCGCGCAAAGCTAGCTGCGCTAGCTGTCCCTAATGTAGTATTCTAGTATAAGACTAGAAGAAAGGCAGCTAGTCATCGCCACCCACCGCCAATTCTTGGGGATACTCTTTTACCAACGAATAGTGGAATTGGCTATCGTGGAATAACGCCTCCACGGCTAAAAGGGTGAGCATGTTTGGTGTGACGGAGATTTGAACCCGCGACCCTCAGATTGCGAGTCCAGCACCCTAACCACCTGGCCATGCCGGGCCGATGATCATTATGATTTAGTCGACATTCTTGTAGTTACTTTTAGCTCTCAATATTATTAAAGCGCAACTTGTACATTGAATAATTTATATATATATATATATAACAACCAAAATTTGCTTCAGCATACAACTTAGGTAATACTAAAAAATTAGAATTAACATTTTGGTCACTAATCTCATCAACAAAGTTCAGAGTTAGAGAAAAGCATACAAAAATTACTTCTCTTTGTTTTTGAAGAGTGAACGTTGCGTTTTAGAAATACTGTATTCTAATACGATAAAGTCAATTTGACATGCCTTCCTCATTTAGTTGAACATCTTCTTGGAAAGTAAATGTGAAATTTGCAGGTAAAGAAGAAACTTTGACAAGTGGCTTCTGAGGTATAATCTCAGTAGTTTTAGCCTTGGATCGTTTTTTATAGGTTTCCTAAAAAGAAACAAGTTAAGTAATTTTATATTCACAAAAACATATTGATATTAAAGACCGAATGTGCATTTCTAAAAACTCGATAATATTTTATATATATTTAGGATAATAACACAGAATGGAGTGTTTTATACATTACACTTGTATTCTCTAAGCCTGAAACTTATGTCCAACATTAAAGAATGTGAATTTCCTGGTCCAAAGTTCAACATTCTTTATATATATATATATATGTTTCTATTTATATTTAATGGGATAATGAAGTTGCTAATTTGTAATAGCCTGTTAACTTTCTTAATGCTATATATAAATATATATATAAATGATATAAATGATAAACTTTCTGAGATCGATTCTGCGAAATAATGGAATTTGATATATTTTCATCGTAAGTGTAAAATCAAACTAACGAATTTCAGAATGTTTCGAAAAAAACACTTAAAAAAGAGTATCTATATTATGCTACAATATAAACAAAGATATCAGAGCATCATTCAATTTTACTAAAAGGCTTAACATTATCCGCGCTTCAGCTACAAATACTTCTCACGTTCCCAGCGCTTCTAAAAATACTTGATAAGCTTTTCATCTGTAATATTATATTTTCTAATAAAGGTCTGTATCCAATAGAAGACAGACGCATGGACCTAACGTAGACTTCAGAAATTGTACGATTCAAACACTTTGCTATTTTAGCGCCATCTAATAGATAAAATACGAGATTTACTTAGCTCGTTTAATAGAATCACAGAATTTTAAAGAGGTTGTGGAAATGAACCTTAGATTATCACGAACAGTTTAAATATATATATATTAAAAGAGATTAATTTAGATGGTGGTTTGTAAAAGTTTTCCATACCTGCCCAAGTATTTCCATTTGTTGTGCAGCAATTGCTTCAGCTGCTAGCTCATTTTCAATTTCCACATCAATATCAGCATCATCATCCATCTGCTTGTGTGACTCCTCTAAATGTTTCATCAAAACAGCTACTACCACGTTAACCAGCACAAACTGAGCCATCAAGACAAATATTACAAAGTATAAGGGAGCGATGAGTTGGGACACACAGCAGTTAGTTAAACAGTCACTAGAAGAATCACAGTTGTCGCGGAGGGTGTCCTAATTTAAAGGATTAAATTAATCCTTTAATGAATTTCTGAATAAAACACATTAGAGCATAATGCTTAACAACGTTCAGTGAAAACTGTTTTTATAAAACTTTGAAATACATTTAAAACTATGTGTTTGGTTATAAATGTAAAGTCAGAATCTGAATTTTATTCTATGTAATTCAAAATGTTCCTGGTTGTTTTAAAGTACATTTAATCAATGTTTTGAAACGCAATTTTTATATATTAGTTATAGTTGTTTATAGCCTTAATAAACTTATCAATATTGTTTTAGATATTTAGATAACCTTATCGAAGTAATTCATTTATTACATTATTATACAAAAGCAAACTATATCCAAATATGTGCACGCAAATAATTTAATATTTATAGCAGAGATAACCTTGGTAATGAAAGCAATTTTCTGATATACTAAATGCAACTTTTGAAACATTTAAATAAATACAATGTGCACCTTTACAATATGTAAGTTCGTCAAACGTAATATATTTAAATATATATATTTACCTTCATAATCCCATTCCAATTATCACCAGTTGCAATGCGAAACAATGTTAGAAAAGCCATTCCAAAGTTATGAAAATGTGCATGTTCTCCTAAACCCTGACAAGGGAATTTATCGTTGCATTCTAGAAAAAAAATTGCTCTAAGGTCAACGAAATTTAAAGTAGTACCAACAAATGTGAATTATTGTTTATGTTTACCTCTATCACTTTTGTTCTAACATAAAAAAATTTATTATCAGGAAAGGTAATTGTGCACACACTAAGACAAACATAATAAAACCAATTTCAAGTTGCACAACTAAATAATAAAGATATGTTTTATTTTTTTTAAATAAAATATCACAATACTTTCGGGATTTAATATAAGAATAATGAGATTTTTGTAACACCTTTGTCATCATCGTGAATATAACGAACGGTCCAATAACTAATTTGGTAAAGAAATTTAGATTTCGTAGACCAGAAAACTATTTATGCTTGTTAGTAGACAAATAAGACGCAAAAATATGTGTTTCGCAAACAGTAAACTACAGAGACATCTCAAAACTAAATAGACACCATGATTTTTTTTCAATAGTCATTTATCTCACATTATCAACTTGACAAAAATGTTTACAAATGTGCATCAATACTTAGTCGATTTGCGACTAGCATGTTTCAGTGCTTTGACTCGTTCTGTCATAGAATCGATGAGTTCTGCAATTTCCTCCTGTAGGATCTTGACCCAGGCTGCACGGAAAACATCAAGTAGATCTCCACGGGACGCTGGTTTTTTGGAACTTCTTCTCACTGCTCGAGCAAGTATGCCCCAGACATCCTCGATGGGGTTCATATCAGATGACTGACTTGGCCATGGGAGCCGTTGAATGCTTTTCTTAATTAAATGACTATTGAATAAACATCATGGTGTCTATTTATTTTTGAGATGTCTCTGTATATCAGTTCATAAAATAAGGTTCGTTTGAATGTTTCTTGAATTTTGCAAAAGGGTACTCGAGGTCAATCAAGAGATAGACTAGAGAAAAGGTAGGTAGTCAACAACACCCACCACCAATTCTTGGAATACTCTCTATGAACGAAGAGTGGGATTCACCATCACATTATAACGTCCCCCAGGGTTGAAAGGGCAAGCATGTCCGGTGATGGGATTTGGGGATTTGAAATCGCAATCTGCAGTTTGCGAGTCGAGCGTTCTGAATAATAGGGAAACGCTAGTTTGGAGATCCGTCACATTTAGAAATGAGGTTCACAAAACCTTAAAAGTATTGGAAAAGCTCTGGTGTAGGATAATGTCACCCAACTACGTTCCTTAAATACATATTTTGTTTGTTTGTTTGTAATCATGCACAAAGCTACACAATGGGCTATCTATGCTCTGCCCACCACGGGTATCGAAACCCGATTTCTAGCGTTGTAAGTCCGCAGACATACCGCTGTGCTACTGGGGGGGGGGGGCTTAAATACATATTGCCTGTCATTTCGAAAATTTTTCTGCGTGTCCCGATAGTTATTCCTCTAAAACAAAACGATCTTACATATGAGTGTTTAGGGATTTAATCAAGGAATATCAAACTCCTGTACAAGGGTATGCAAAGACGAAATTTGAGAATTTCGTCGATAAATTTCTTTTAACCAAACTATTGAAAAGTTGAGATACATATACCTAAATGTGTACATAACCGATGACTTAATGTAGTTTTTTTATAATTTTACCTAAAGGGTAAATTTTGTTTGGTAAATTATACTAACTTGGTTCTTTTATTTACGTATTATTCCTATCGTATATTGAAACATAGGATTAACATTGGATTGATAACTTTGGTATCTACTTCTGTTGTTATAATAAGTTAATCAGATATCATTAAGGTACTATTTTATCTGATCAACTGCATATACTTATGCAATGATTTCAATTTTCAAATTACATAAAAAATTAATCATATTTAAATCATTCATAAGTATAAAAGCTTATGCAAATACTTATATCTTCACTTCTGTATATTTATAAAGATGCATGATTTATGTTCAGAAATTATTAACACTTAAAAGTAGAAACTCATTTTGGCTTATACAGTTATGTTTCACCTACCAAGTCGACCAAATAATTCCACTCCAAGAGCAGCAAAGATGAAAAATAAGAGGAAAAACAAGAGTCCGAGATTACCCACTTGTGGTAGCGCTTGCATTACAGTGTCCAACAAAGCTCGGATACCCTTTGCCATCTTTAGTAGTTTCAATACTATTTAAAAATATTATAACTCAATGTTATGATGTATTATATTATTTTTTCCTCAGTGTTATTTTAATATTAAAATTCAAATATTAAAGACATATTTCTTCAAGTTATACATGATTATTTGCGTATTTCCTAACTGTTAGTTGTAACAGTGTGAATATATTGAGGTAAATTATTTTAAGTAGCCTAAGAGAGTACCATTTTCCAAATCCTTTTATATATATTCATATATATTATTATATACATTCCCAATGATCGATATTCCTCAAAACCAACTACATTAATACTTTATTACGTATGTCGTCCAGTTAATCTTAAATATATAGAACTAATCAAGTTTTAAATGTAACTATATTTCGTCTCAGTATCTTCTCTTAAAAATATTCTGTAATAAGTAGATTGGAAATTTCTTTTTATAACTTTTGAAATTATACATTTTTATTATTTCTTATAAATTATACTTTGGGAAGTGCAAGTGTCAATACATTCTGACTCACATAGAAAACTCTGAAAAAGCAAACCAATTAAAGCTCATCTCGAGCTCTTCAAAATGTTGACAGAACTATATAAACGACAATAATATTCCATTTGATGTCAATCAGGCTATATTTTATGTCTAAAAATATGAATAACTTTGATACCTAATGCTCATATTTCGGCCTTTGTTTGAAATTAGAAGAAACTTTATTAGTGAAATAAATACCAATTAAACATATTCTACCTCTTGCTATTCTCAAAACCCTCATCACACGGATGATAGTGGGGTTTATTGGGATGATCTTGGACTCCATCTCTTCGAGGAATATCCCAACGACAGATAGAATTACGATAATAACATCAAGTTGATTCCATCTAGAGTATAAAGTAAGTCAGCACAGTTTGTACTCTATATATGTATCATAGATGTAGGTCAGGCTTTCTAAACACATTTAACTTGATTAGTGTAATTTCATTGACAAAGAATTAATTAGATAAAAGTAAGTTAAGATACAGCGAAGCAGTCATGATTTGAAATTGCCTGTCATACATTTTTACTAAATGAAAGTAATCTACAGTTTTACGATTGTTTTTCGACCGTAAGATACAACTAATGATTTAAATAAAACCTTTACTTCTCAAATTAACCTTATGCCATAAATTTTGTAAAAGAAGTATTGACACATAACCGGTCTTACAATATTAAATTTAAAAACAAGCAAACAGTAGTTTCAAGTATGTTAAAACACAAAAAAGAAACATCATACGGAGATTATTCGAATTTTGTTTGGAAATAATATATTTTACGTAAAACTAGTTTTGGAAGTAGAATTTTCAAATCATTCTGACCATATTTGCACACAGAAATGTTTTTAAACAAGACAAGCAATGAATTTGGAGATAAATGGTTTATAATCTTATCTTATATTTTTGAAAATCTTTCAGTATCATATTTTTCAAGATAGGTCTTCCGTATGCTACATACTATTTTATGTTTAATTTTCTATTGAACGAGAATTGATACCTATGTTATGTTTAAACATTATTGTTATTTTACACTAACACGTTTACCGACATATAGCTATAAACGTACTTATCAATGAGATATCTCCTGACTCCCAAGGCAACAGCTTTCATGATAGCTTCCAAAATAAATACCGCAGTGAAGAAGTAATTAAATATTTTCAGAGCATAAACGAGTTCCTGGAATGTCAAAAAAGAAAGAACTTCTTGTTCATTCGATTAGTAGAGACATGATTTTATGTACTGCTTTTAATGTTTCGTTGATATTAACATACAACACTCTTGTAACTATAAACAAGGTCTTATTTGAGAACAAACAATACATCTACGCACATACATTTTACAAAAGTACATGTTTCTTGAATGTTTTAAACATTCCCTGGACTTACCGTTGGCATCATATAGAATTCCATGGCCATGGTAACTACATTTAGACCAATAACAGCTGCAATAGCTAAGTCAAAGTATTTGCTCGTTACAATGTTATTGGTGAAGAGCCTTGGTTTGGAGAAGTTGATGTAATATGGTGGTTCCCTCATTTCTATTTAGAAACAAAAGATACAAAAAGGGTATCTAAAGTATCCAATATAATCAACTGATACAAATAATTTCTCGTGAAGCCCACTTTCAAATGTAAAATCTAGTTGCATAGAATATGTAAGAATAACATTATTTAATTAGATTTCAAAAACATGATTTTAAATAAAACAAAAAAATAATACCATCGTTGTTTTGAAATGTTGAATATGCATACATTTAGAATGGGTGTCCCGATTAATATCTAACGATACAAAGATGAGTCTCTAACCATTGAAACTTACTTTTACCACCATCGATGGTGTTCTATGTGTTGGCCCTGACAAATCCCATCACAGGTGCTTTTGAACAATACACAGAGGTTAATTTATTCCACAGTCTCATTAAATGCTTTCGAAATTCCATCAACCGTGCGCGGACGACGACTTTCGAAGACTTATTTGCGCAACCCAAAGAAACATAAGTCCACAGGAGAATAACTTGTATAACCTGAATTCCTGTTTGTACTTGTATCTTGGACGTGTGTCTCGATGTTTTTTTCATTGATTGTGATTTGCCATATTTGAATCAAACACAAATAATAATGATATTTTCCCCACTTTTTGGATGTTTAATTTACCTACAACCATTACACATTCCTTAAAGAAACTTTCACGACATACTCTGTACTGTTTAATTTACCTACAACCATTACACATTCCTTAAAGAAACTTTCACGACATACTCTGTACTGTTTGTATGATGTTGTTCAACCAGCAGGACGATAATGAACTGTCCGAACTTTTGCAAGCACTTAAATAGACATATGCTTCGTACAGTATGACGAAATACTTCCATTTGTTACATACTATATATCCCTCTAATTTTGACAATTACTTTTCTTTTCGCCTTTGGGCTTTGGGGAGAACTTGTGAACAGGACTCTTCTACTGCCTTTATAGACTTAAACACATGCGAATTATCTGTTTGTTTTCAGTTCCAAGAGATGTTGCTACTTTAATTTCAATGGATCATTATGTTCTTGATTAATTTCCTGTGGCAAGCCGTTTAATTTTCTTCAATACCTTCAGTGTGTGACTGGAAGCCGGTCTTGCATAGCCTTTTTTTTTGTCTGTGCTGGAATCACGCCTTTATTTGCTTAACATACTTTACCGACACGGTTCAATGTCATTCATATTCCTTACTTCGAAACTTTCAACTCTAGTGCCTTGCATACTTTTATATTCACAGAATAGGAGAACTTCGCATCTGAAAATCGTGTAATGTAATACTACCAGATAGAATAAATTTTAGGCGTCATTCGCAATTGTGAATTACCATACGAAAGTCGACGCTATCAACAAGTCTAGTCACAAGTCATGGGGATGTTCAGGGACAAGGTTATTGAATATGTATACCGTTAACATAAGATATGAATTTATATTGATATTTTGTAAATTGTTAAAAATATTATTTCAGAGCATCGTTTTATATATCCATAATTTGAAAATGAATATATATCTACATATGTGATAGAAAACATTTAATACGTTGTCAAATGTGTGTTTGTCTCTTATTGTAGAGTAAAACCACATTAAGCTATCTGTAAGGTCCACAGCGGAGAATCAAACCCTGGATTTTGGTATTGTAAGCCCGTAAACTTACCGCTGTCCCACCAGAGGACGTTTCCAAGTGACAAAGCTTAGTGATCACCCTGGCATAGTCAGATGCTCCATATAAAAAGTAAAACATGAAGCTCAAGCAACATCTTACTGTGAAATAATTCAGATATGAAAAAACTAATATGCTAACATAATCAACAAACAGATGCTGGTAGTATAAACTACTAAAATAAAAAGATGATTAAAAAAAAGTGATACAGGATGTTGTTCCAAGTCAGATAAGATACTTAGAAATAATAAAAAGCCAGTTAACTGGATAATACTCTAGCCGGTTTGAACTCTACGACCTTTGTTTAGCTTTATATATATATATTCTAGCCACAGGAAAACAAACCATATTTACATACTTTGTTGAAAAAGTTAAGAATATCAGTAAATTAATTATCCTTCTATATATTTTTGCATTTCTTGAGTAACACTACGAATTATAAGTTTATATATTTAGGATTTCCACTTTTGTCTTTATCGTTTCAAAGGACATTTGACATTAGCTTAATAAAATAATGTTCATTTAACACTTTCGCGTATTTTATATTATTATTTATCTCAGGAGAGTGTTGTAATATTATTACTGCTAGAGCATATGTGTTTGCTGAACACACGTTACGCTGTCGTCATCGAAACAAGAAAGGTTAAAACTTGTTGATAACTAAAACAAATCATGTCAGGTGTAAAAGCAAGAACTTTAAAAGCATTATCCTTTGAATCGTATAATTACACAATTCAAGAGTTTGGTATTTTAAAATCAAATGGAAAATTAACAGCTCTAGCTATTTCTAAAATAACTTGGTAATAATGTCAAATAACATAAAGTAATTAACTGTTAAAATATAGGAAAATCATAGATTACATTAAAAAAAATACGAAAATTATAACGATTCTCTAAGTGCAAATGTAGTTAATTATTTGTCCATTCGGTGCGATGTACCTTTGGTTGAGATCTCTATTTATTTATGGTAGATAATTGTTAAATATATGAATTATTTTTGAACAAAGTACGTGACCACTATGATATGGATTAGAAGCATGACCACTTACAAAGCATTTAAAAAAGAAAGACCAGATTTTGATAATGTTAGGGCCAGTGTATGACACAGACGAAAATAAATGCAGAATACGACGTAACCATGAGTTGATGGATATCAGCAGATTAACTCCTATTGCAAATATCGTAAAAGCAAGAAGAATAAGATTGGCTGGGCATGTTGCCAGAATGGAAAATGAAAGAATGCTCAAGTTTGCAATGTTTGGAAGACCACAGGGTAGGAGACCATTAGGAAGACGGAGAAAAAGATGGCGATATAATGTTGCAGAGGACGCCTTTAATGTTGGTATGGAAGATGAAGGATGGTCAGAGGTTGCACAGGACAGCGAGAGATGGAGAGACTTCACGAGTGCGGTCAGGGTGCGATACGCTATAGGAGTGAGTGAGTATAGGACCATTATGACTTAACCGTAACTACTGTGATTAACATAGTACAGATGTCTATGTGTTTTCTTATAGTAAAGCCACATCGGGCTATCTGCTGTGTCCACCGAGGGGAATCAAACCGCTGATTTTAGCGTTTTAAATCCGAAGACTTACCGCTGTCCCACCGGGGACTATGATATAGATATTATAATAAACCTTTAATGTATTTTAGGTTCATATTAAATTAAATGCTGATACTATAATTTTAATATGATATAATTAGTGTTAGTTATACACATATCTTATATAAGAATAAGAATAAAACTGTTTTTAAAGGAAGAAAAAAAAAAGCTAAAGCCAATATAATATATATAGTGATCTGCTTCTAAACCACACATTTTCCAGTTATAAAGTGTTTCGAAAAACGGGCACAATATAAAGATATCGTTACAGAAAACAAATATTTCCTTTTACACAAGACTGTAAAATATTAGGTAGCTCCTGAATTACGTTTGTAAATTATAATAAGAAAACAAAATAACTTTCTTTCATATGCTAAGTTGTTATTTACCTTTCAACGTAGAGGAAGGTTTAAGAATCTACATTTTGAACGTTCATACTAAGGCTAATCAATTGTTGTATATTTTATACATCATTGAAAACTTACGTTTAAAATATTCAGTAGAATATATTCAAGTTCGTGAGACAGAAATAAACACTGTAGTAAAAATGATTAAAATAAATGGAGTAGAACACAATCATCCACAAGTCCCAATTCTACCTCGACCCTGGCTGTTTGTTAGCTTTGTTTGTTTCAGATATTTGTGCAAAACTAAACAAGAGATATCCGCGGTTACTGTAGATCTAATATCCACAATGTGATAGACTAACTAATGACCGAGCTCAGCTGGCTGTTAGAAATGGATACAAAGGGCAACTGAGGCATCAACTCTTCAAGAATATGATTAAGAGAAAACTCTTGTTCAGAGTATGATGATATTTAACAGGAAATTAATTATTCAACATTTATAAAGTTTCAACAGATATCTAAGGAAGAGAAAAAAGGAAAACTAATATTTTCTAAATGTATATTAAAAATCAAGCAAAGGTTAGAAAATTAGCTACATCAACAAGTAGATGAAATTGAGAAAGTGCAAATTTTAAGTAAACAAAGCTGAAGGTGGTCCTTGTTTAATGTTAAAATACTACTGCGGGAAATATTTGGGATAATAAACTCGAAAATAGGTAATATTTTAAGAACCATCGAAGAAATGCAATTACCGTGAGAACATTTTAACAAATCAAGTACATTTGAAATTATTAAAAAAAGCAGTGAAAATTACAAACTGTATTTGTCCCTTCTTGTCAGACTTAATTGAGGATAAGGAATAATATATATTCTTGTTAGACTTAAGGGAGTATAATAATATCTATTCTTGTCAGACTTAAGTTAGGATAATAATATATATTCTTGTCAGACTTAAGTGAGGATAATAATATATATTCTTGTCAGACTTAAGTTAGGATAATAATACATATTCTTGTCAGACTTAAGTGAGGATAATAATATATATTCTTGTCAGACTTAAGTTAGGATAATAATACATATTCTTGTCAGACTTAAGTGAGGATAATAATATATATTCTTGTCCGACTTAAATTAGGATAATAATACATATTCTTGTCAGACTTAAATGAGAACAATGAATATTATCTATTCTTGTCAGACTTAAGTGAGGATAATAATATCTATTCTTGTCCGACTTAAGTTAGGATAATAATACATATTCTTGTCAGACTTAAATGAGGACAATGAATATTATCTATTCTTGTCAGACTTAATTGAGGATAATGATATCCATATAAGTTAATGCTCATACTTCGCCGCTTCTTCTCCAGTTTGCGAGCTCGTTTTTCAGCCCGAAGAGCCTTTTCTTCTTTCTCTTGTTCTTCTCGACAGCGATGAAAGTTTTCAACTACGACTCCCACGAACATGTTGAGAACAAAGAAGGCAACAAGAAGGAGGAATGATATGAAATAAATAAGCCGCCATTCATTGTAGTTCTCAATGGGCTGCATGATGCACAAGAAAATAAAACCAAAAACATATAATTAGAAAAGAAAATTGTAACTTTATCCTGTACTAGTACAATTCATAAAGCCATTACTGCGCTCGTGAAGAGTTGATAAAATATTAATAACAAAAGAATATAGATTACACCTGTAAACAATACAGACGTGAAATCTTAGTCTGAAATATCATAATGTTCACATCACGTGATAAGTAATTAACTTCCATTGACTTGTCACATTTTTAAAATCAGAGTATATTTTATTAGATAAAATCAATTTTCAATCGCATTTGATCAGAAAACTAAACCATATTTATCATTCTTAACTTTGTTTATCGCAAACTAGAGTTCATTATGAGACATTTCTATAAAAGTAAATAAAATCACGACGTATATTTAACTGGATTAGTGGAATTGTAAGATATCGATAGCTCCTGACGAAGCTGTAATATCGGAATATTGAGCTAATAAAGTTACATTCTGGAGATATAGTTCGTGATTTTATTTACGTTTATAGAAATACCTATCAATATTTCCTTTCAGTTAAATAGTTAAGCGATGAACTGAAAATATAATCACCGTTATACGGTTTGCTAGTTTTTGAAAGAGATTTACACAGTATCTCTATTTATTACCAAACACTTTCGCTGAAACAATGTCTACCTAAACAATCCTTACCTTGTATGTAGCGGAGACTCTATAGCTTGAGTTGATATTCACTCATGAAATATTCTTACGCCAGGTTTCAAATACGCATTTATCAACGTATTTTGTAACTGTTGCTATACTTAGATAATTATATGAATACACACTAATCGGTTTCGTTTCATAATAGATAGCTATTATGGAGACAGATTAAGAGAAATAATTAACTTTAATTCAATATTACTTCGAGAGTAATATTTGAGCTTAATAAAAAAATTAGTTAAATGTTGTGTTGTAGGAAGCAAGTTATGTTTTGAAATCCTTGAACATGATGAACATATACTTATTTCTGGTGTTTTAGAAAATTTCCAGCGATTACAATTATTTTTTACATTTCAAATGAGAAAAGGTTGATTAGAGTTAATGGAATCGCGTTAAACCTAATTTACATTATTCCGACTTATATAGGACATTCTTTAAATCGTAATGAAACATAGAACTATATCATCAGATATTTTTCTGCTGTACTGAGATAGTAGAGAGCAAATAATAAATGGATACATATATGGCATTGTTTATAGACACATACATATATAGATATATGTATAGAATCATATATATATATATATATATATATTTATTTATTTATTAAAACAAATGATAAAGTAATCAAATATAATTCATATGAGGAAAAATAAATAACTAAAATACTCTTAACTATAACAAAGTAGGTAAATGCGTATTCAGACCAAATGTATAATGGATAGATATTGTTAATAACAAACTTATGACTGAAACGTAAATGTACATAAAAATTATAAACAAATGGAGGAGATAAGAGATATCCCAGATCATACATCTAGTTACACCAATTCTTAACATCCAATGAATTTAATGTATGTATCCATGTCTACTATATTACCATAAGAAACTTTATAAAACTTCCAGGTTTGGACACACATTTCATTAAGAACATTTGTAAATGTTATACCTTCTGTGATAACGCAATCTACGGGTTATTTTAAAGTATATTAGAAGGTTATAGTATTAAGTAATGAATATATTTCAATATGGATGACTATAAAAAATCGAAATCTATGAAATTAAACATACCTGTTGGTCGACATCAACAGCATCTAGTCCAGTGTACATGATGTTAACCCAGCCATCCTTTGAGGACAAAACAAAGAGCGCCATGAGAGCCTAAAAAGGAAATTCAAAATATTCTGAACCACAGCTGTTTGTTGTTATTGAAACAGCTTTAATATTCAATAAAATAAGTTATTGTAGAAAAAGGTGGAATATAAATTATATTTCTTGGGTTCGGTATTGCACTTTATATATTACAAATAAAGTTAAGCTAATATTAAGTACAGGTATAAAACAATAAACCATTTTGGATAATTCTGGTAGGTAACTTATATCTATATGTTTCTATTATCGATTTTGAGTTTTGAAATTATAATTATAATTGCCAATAGTTTGGCTATTATATGAATTGATAAGATCCGTAAGCTAAGTATCCAATGAACGTTTTTCGTTATATAGCAGTAAAGTTATTCTCCTATTATTAGATGATATTCATTGGACATTTCATTAACCTTAAACAGTGTCTAACTATTTATAAGGCATACCTGTCCTAAGTTGTCAAAGTTATATTTACGGTTGATCCATTCGTTACGGGGATCTGCCAAGCATTCAGTTTTGTTGCTAACGTTTTTCACATTTGGTCCATCGCAGTAGTAGAGTTTTCCTTTAAACAGCTAGGTGAATGTAAAATTTGTAACATATATTAAAACCAAAGTTCAAAAGATTAAAAAATAAAATATTTTAGTGCATATGACCTGGCAATGTCTTGTTAATTTTCCTGAAAAATTTAATTTGGAAAAGAAAAAAAATATTTGTAATCAGAACATTATTTTATTGCAACTAGAGTTCATAATACGACTAAGAAGCGCGAGGTCAGATACAGTAAGTGACATTAAGGATAACATTGAACAAAATGTTTGAGGTGTCCAAATTCTAGAAGATAGAAACACATTATATTGCTATATAAACTTACCTTACAATAGATGAATAGCATCTCATGTAGCATTAAAACATGTATATATTATATAATTTGAAATGAACCATATCAACATTACAATTCCCTTTTCAAATTACAAATAGTTTTACAAATATTTAATGAAGCTATGGTGGTTTATAATCCATCTTAATTAGCGTTTTATTACCTTGAGAACAGTGTGTGTGTGTGTGCTGTCGCGTGGTAGTGCAAAGTGTTACCTGAACTCCCAGGATTCCAAATATAATGAAGAAAGTACAACAGATAAGAACAATGTTGCCAATCGGACGAAGAGATGAGAGCAGAGTCTGGACAACTAACTTTAGTCCTGGTGCTCTGTTTATCACTCTGAAAAACAGTATATGTTTATCAACAACTGCTGTTTCTAACAATTTCATATTAATCTTTATATCTGACATGAATGCTTACAAGAGAGAATATATAACCAAAAGACTAAAGTTGTTATGAACCATGCTCATCCTTACACTCTTAAATCAGCACTATAGCCAATTTCACTATGAATTCATTCAAGCACTGAAGCACCACCTAGACTAAACATTTCACATAGAACTTTAAAAAAATCCTTTAAATGTATTTGTAGATTTTATTAATTTAAAATATTCTATATTAAAGTCTGCAAATTATAAAATGGTATAAAATACGGTATTAATATTTTCCCCATTATTATTATTATTATTGCAAATTTTCACCACATTTCTGATAAAAGAAAGAATGTTTAAAAGGCCTAATCTTTTTTTATTTCATCAAAAACACTTTCCCGAATATGTATTTCGAATAAAAACTTAAAACACTGTATTTCGCTTTATAAAAAAGATAAGAATAAAATTTACATAATTAGATGTTAAGGTATATTGTAGTGGCCCTGTTGAAGTACCGTGATGCATTTTCCAGTTGATGGTGACTACTGCCTTGGTTACGTAGAGCTAAAAATAGCTAGTTGTTTATGATAGTTTTTCGAGTTTTGGTTGCACTGGTAAGCCACTCGCCCACAAGGGCTGAAAGACCAACCCCAGTTCGTAGGAGCTAGTGTAACAAAAAGAAATATTGTACGCAATTCTAAAGTTTTGCTTCTATTGGACAAATGTAAAACACTAAAAACAAAAATAAGAGTTCCATCCGACGGATGAGTCTGTTATGTCAGAAGGCCGGAGAGCATTCTCTTTAACCTATTGATAGATGGCAGCACCTATCTGTGTGTAAAGTTAAGGAATGTTCTGTTTTTGCTGCATTTGTGCGTGTGTGTGTGTGAGAGAGAGAGTCTAAATAGCACATGCCTCATAAGCAAAAACTCGCAAGTACCGTCATGATACACGGACTCAAGACATGAGTTGTGAAAGAGTAAAATTAATAAAAAGAAACCAAAGTTTAACTGACAGTAATCAAAGCAAAGCTAACTAGTTTATGTACTAGATGCTTATTGAAAAGAAAAATTGAACAAAAAATATATACTGAAAATTAATATTGGTGAAGCAAGTAGGTAATAGAACTTCTTGGAAATGTACTCTGTGCATAAAATGAGGGTACTGAGTGGCTTTGCAAAGTTTTATTATAAAGTATTCATCAAATCATGAATTTGATGGCTCGTTAACACGTGTATCATCCGAAACTCAAATCCTCGTGCTTTAACATAAGGTTGGTATAATGTGTACGTCAAAACATCAGAATAACGATTATTTTTACTTATGTCTACTATTTCCTTGAAATTGAATCTTTATGCATGTACAGTTAGATAGCATTGTCCGAAAGATCGGGATTCGTATTTACTAATGACTTTGTAGATCATATACAATTGTAATAATTCAAATATAATAAAATTGTATAATATTTACTGTGTTTATTACTATATATAATATTAAACACTTTTAGTATTAATTTTCAAGAATTATCAAAATTATACTCACTTTTTTCTACCTGTGTCATACTTGAAGAGATATAACTATATAACATATAAGGCTAATAACAATAAAATATGCATTAGCTTTCGCAAAAGTGTGGATTTTGTAAAATAATTTACATTAAATAAAAAATGCATGCATTTTTCTAACTTCAAGTTTTCGCTTTAAAACTAACATGTCTTATAATATATTTAGCTCATTATCATAAATTGAATTGAGGTATTTTATATCAACCTGAGTGGCCGTAAAGAACGAAGAAGACGGAAGACACGAAGTATGCCAAAGATTTTTGGACTACCAGCGGCAAGAAAAGATAATACGAAATCTAGCAAAGAGATTGAAACTAAGATTCCATCCATTTTATTCCAACCACTCTTTAGATATGCATGCTCCCCATACCACAAACCTTTGGCTATTACCTAATGAAAAAACAAAAAAACATTTGAATTAAGAGACCCTAGTCTGGCGGAGGAGTATTATAAAATGTTATATGAAAAAGAATATCGAAACTTTACATTATGAAGGTACTGATTTGAAAAAATATATACGAAATTTCAAAAATAAAGTGATCATATGTTAACGAAATGTTCAAGAGTATGAAAAAATGAAGACTACATTATCGAAGCTTAATTTTTACATGCTATAGCTGATATTTTATTTTACATACGTTAAAAACACTAAAGTGTCTTAAAGATACAAAAATGTGTATAATTACGCTTGTTTGTAAGGATAAATATTTGTCATCACTGGCATCTTAGATTGAAATTCGTTGTTTAGATTTTAAATAAAAGTTTATCTCAAAGGTTTTATACATGTACAAAGGAAACACAAATTAATTTACTGAATACGTTTACATTTTTCTCAATGACTGGCAGCTTATTGTTGTCATGTTAAACGTGATACCAATAAAATATGTACGGATGTTTCAGTAATACAAATGTTTAGTAAACCATTAATTGGCTCTTTTAGGACTATCGTCGTTAGATACATTTTCATGTCGTTTGTAATTTGCTAAAATTATATGTAAATTATATTAAACAGCTCACGTACTTTAACTACCATTTCCAGACCAAAAACAATCGTGAAGATGTAGTTGGCTGCTGTTAGCACTTCTCTTTCTATACTCTCTGGTGGGATATTGGGTCTCTCGATCGCAAGAGTAATGCAGTTGAGGGTGATAAAAAATAGTATCCCAAAGTCAAACTTTTTGTGATCTGCAACTTGCGCACAAAAGTTACGTATCCTGGGGTAAGATAGAGAGAGTAGCATTATTTATTTCATGAATAATCTACATATTCATAGTATATATATTCATGTTGCTAAAGCAAAATGTTCTTTTATATTCAGAAGACCAACGTTCTGATAGAGTCATGATTTCATTATATGATTTTTTTCATTATTTTACTTATTGTCTTTATCGGAATAATCAACTAGACATTTACAGTAGAATAAATACCAATAATTCAGTGATTTTTAATGGATTAGTAGTTCATTTCTAAGGTTAAACGGAAGGTTGTATTACCTCCGATGTTTTATTGTTTGGAATGATTAATGTTTAACAACAGAAATTTCGTTTTATAAACTTATCAGTTTAACATATTTTACTATATAACAAGAGAAACGTAAACAGGGAAACAACATGATAATTATTCTTTACTATAAACAGAAAGTTTAGAACAAACTAGAATACATATTTTCTTTTACCGAGCCTCTTAAAAGATAAATCACGTTTTTGGTCAGTGGGTAAATAATACTATACGTCATAGTTTTGTAAGAATATACTGAACATAAAATCTGTTATAAAAATAATTTTTGTATGAACTTTAATAAAATACTCGTTTTTAATATTCATGCCTTCAGAACAAATTTATCTTAAACTGACTTATTTCTGGGGAAAAATTATAAAATACTTCTTTTAATGTGTTAAATGTTTAAATAAATTACATTAAATACAGTTTGCTTATTTAACTTAATCAAATAATTATTTACTTATCTAATTCAATAAAATAATATTGTAAATTTGAATGCTTTAATTAAAAAACTTATTAATGGTACCTTAAACTTACCAATTTTCTGGTGAGAAAATAAATAATGAATAATCTTCACGTTCTTTTAAACAACCTTGAGGTTCGATCAGCCAGAAAAGCTAAAATCAGCAATTAGCAACACATATTATATGGAAAGCTGAATGGATAAAACTACAAATTTAAATGAAAAGTCGCAACTGCATAGATCAATCTTTAAAAGTTACAGTTTAAACGCTGAAAACCGGCGAACTATTGGAAACCAAAAGTCCTAAAGCTATTATAAAAAAACAAATTAACTACAGATGATTTTATTTTTTCACATTCTTCTTAATTTGTCCACTGTGGCTTAAATTCAGAGGTGTGTAAAAATATAATTTCAAATATATTTTTCGTTTCCTTAGTTTGTTTGTAATAAGCACAAAGCTACACAATGGGCCATCTATGCTCCGCCCACCACGGGTATCGAAACCCGGAATCTAGCCTTTGTAAGTCCGCAGACATACCGCTGTGCCACTGAGGGGTTTTTCGTTTCCTACAAGTCGCTGTCGAAGAAGCTTTTATTTCAATACCAGAACTCATTAGTTTACTTGAGTTTTATAATAATTTTTAACTCCTATTGGTTTCCAGCAGTTCACCAGCTTTCGGTGTTTAAACCAAATTTTTAAGGTATTATGCTGCATACATAAATAATGTATCATAAAATGTTTTTGTTTCTCATTCCCCAGTTTAACTCATAAGCTTGATACTGAAAGAAAAGGTCCTTGGGGAGCGACTTGTTAGAGAAAAAAAGATAAACCTGAAATGCTATTTTTACACACCTCTGATTTTGAGCCGTACTGGACAAATCAAGAGGAATGTGAGAAAAAACAATAACTGCAGTTAATTTGATTTTTATAAAGAATAGTTCAGTCTTACTTCCGTATTGAATTACAACAATATACATTATCATTCTTTTCATCTACTTAATAAATAATATATATATATAGTACTTAACTGACACCTACGTTAGCAGCAGCTTTATAATAAAACTCTATAGTGCTGTTAAAAAATACATGTTAACAAAGAAGCATTTTCTTTTTTAATGTTACTCATTAGCATTAATTTTTACGCTTCCGTTAATAATATAAATTAATAAATTGTTTCCAAAACTCCTTATAGCATTGAAATATATATAGATATACATATGTTAAAATTCAGTCTTAATGAGTAATTTACATAAGTGATTAATTTTTACTCCTGTTTAGGCTGAGAACAAAAACGAAAATGAGATAATAGGGACATGAATACTTAATAAATCAGATAAAAACTCAATCACTGTTTCTTAGTTTCCAGAAACAAAATGTTAAGGTCATAAATCCAATATTTCAAATAAACAACAACAAAAACATGAACTGAAACGCACGAACACTTGCCAAACATTTACGGTGAGGATCAAATACAAAAATATTTAAAAAAGAACGTCAACTTAAAAATCTTTATCGTTTTTTCACTATACCTTTCCAGTGAAATATTTATCAGAAGAATGTTCTTCATTCTCAGGATTAACGGGCGATAAATCTGTCAGGTTGTTTGTCTTAATTTCTTCCTTTAGAGACGAGCCACTGAGTGAGTTATGCCGACTAGACAAATAGCTATGACTGTTAAAAGACTGCTGGGGGCTAAGGATATTGTGACTGAGAACACTAATGCTGATGGAAGCTTGCCTATTGTCGAAAAGCTGACTGTTGAAAGATTCTGCAGGGTCGTCAGTCGGCGAATGAGAGGAATGACTTTTAATAGAATTTTGTGGGCTGAGAGTTTTATGGCTGTTGATACTATTTTGTTTAGACAGAACTGGTCGATTGAAGTTTATGATGTTACTCAGTGCTGGTAAGCCACCATTACAATGGGTGTGGTCAACTGCTGGACTGAAAAATATAGAAAATTAAAACAGTGAAGTAAGTGAAAAAGTATAAACTTGTTAAAATATTATTATCCTCATATATATATATATATATATATATATATATATAT